CTCAAATAGTTGAACCATAATAATTTTAGATAATCAATTAAAAATAAATACATAATTCTAATATACTAAAACTTAATTTTGGATGTGAATTGAAATAAAAAAAATTAAAAATACTTCAACACTAAATAATTTTGGATGACATGTTCGTGTTCGTCATGCTGACAAGGCATAGGGTGAATATGGCAATTGTGTTGACATGGCGGATGACTTTGAGAAAACTATCCCTTATTTGAGAAATATGTTTAAAACTACCTCATTTTAGGAAATAAGATTGAAAACAACCCTTGTTTGGGAAAAAACTCCATTTTTCAGCTTTTGAGTCATCTTCGGGATTCCTTTGAGCAGCCAAGAATCCGGATATTCACAGGGATCTAGGAATTCACAAAGATTTGATTCAAATTGAAAGCAAATGCTTCCTTTTCTCGATTGAAGAATCGCTTTTTTGCATTTCTGAATTTAAAAAGGGATACATCACATTTTGCTGCAATATGGAAAACGAAATTTCTCTAATTCGTGTCATTTTACCACGTACGGGTTATCAAAATTACACTCCCTCCGTTTCATTTTACCTGTCATAATTTTCTTTTTAAATTATCCCAAAATAAGTTTCACATTTCTTTTGTGAAAAGAAACATGTGATCTACAACACTTTTATTATACTCAAATCTCAACCACAACTTTTACTTTTTCAATCACTTTATTAATAATTCTGTCAAACCAAAGTAGGACACACAAAATGAGACGAAAATAGAATAAGCTAAGCTATGAGGCTGTTTGGCAACACTGATTTTCGGTTTATCAGACTTATCAACCAACTTTTTCACCAAACACGTAATTTTCGCTTTCGCGCGCTGAATTGTGTAATAAGCAGAAAAAGTAAGGTTGAAGTTACTTTTCTGGCTGTATTGGCTGAAGTTACCGTAGATGACCATTTTATCTATTTTACATATCATTTTTTCTTTATTTTATTAAAAAAATATATTTTAAAGATAATTTTTTCTTAAATCAGTAGAATCACCCAATGCAGCCACTTCGATCAGAACTTCATAAATTTCAGCAGAATCAGCCAAAACAGCCGATTTTCGTGCTACCAAACGGGCTCTATGAATGCAACAATTTGGGAGGCTATTATCGTTTGATCTAAAAAGAACATGAGTTACTTCTTTCGGTCAGGTATCACTAATAATTCCAGAGGATTGGAATAATGAAGGATTAGATCATTTTTTAACTTTTTTTCAGAATTTTTTGTACTCAACGCCAAGGTTACTATGGAATTTTTTTTGCTAAGCCTCCGGGTGGATGTACTACCTGAATAAAATTTCTAGAAATTTCGATGTACTTGATAATAAAAAGTAGATTCTATGGTACACTTAAGGTACCATACCTTTGTACGCATGGACCAATCAGGATGATGCAGTTGAATTGTTTAAATCTAAATTAAAAATGATATAATGATTTGGACTAGGGGTGGGAAAAAATACCGAAATTTCGGTATACCGGACTTGCCATATCGAAAAATACCGAATTTACCGAAATGTTTGGTATACCGACACTTTTGGTATGGTATGACACCGTACCGAATTACTTCGGTATGATATCGGTATATATTTTGGAAATAAGCGGTATACTGGTATACCGTCATACCGTAATTCCAAGCCAATAATTTTCTTAAAATTATAATTAAAAATAATTAGAAACACAACACTAATTCAAGGATAAATGACTTTATATCCATGTTTCTTGAATTATTTGTACTTTTGTTGGAGATCGGTGTTATTTTAATTATATTTATGTTGTTTAAATTATTTTAGCAAAATATGGTGTTATCTTCATATATCGTGTGTTGAAATATCTATACATATTTATAATATTTTTTGTTCAAAGTTGAATAGAACACAAATAGATTATCTAATTAGTATTTTATAATTAATTTCATTAATGATTTTAGCATATCACTGTTAACACTGATTTTCTTTATTTCATTTGACATATAATAATTTGTTATATTAAATCATGATAATTTTCGGTATGGTAACGGTATGTATTTTTGCATAACGAAAGTTTACGGTATGGTAAAGGTATGCGACAAAAAATTCGGTATACCGTACCGAACCACCCCTAATTTGGACCAATCAAATACATGGTAGGTACAGTACCCCATTTTTTAAATGGGTACCGGAGTTGTCACCTAATAAAAATTCTATTTCTGAGGCTTTACTACAAGCAGATTTGCAAGCTAGACTTCCTGTCTTCCTGAATGAAGTTGGATTTGACTCAACCGAGAGGCAGGATTTCAAGTTCTATCAAACTCAAGCAGTTTTATGTTCAAAATTTTCAGGAAATGAAATGAAAGTTATGCGATTTTCATTAGAACTAACGGATCAGGAGCTATTAGATCGCGCAGGAATCCTTCTTAGAATCGTAAAAAGATTCAAAGGAGGAGTGCAAAGTCAAGGAAATTAAATGAAAAGTCAGGTACAAAAATAAGACTAGGTTTAAACTTTTCCAGAAATGTTATTACCATGTCTTTTTTACCATTTCATTAACAACAAGTGTTCCCTTCCTTGACTTGATGGCCGGTGACCAACACTGGTGGCTTTTACAGTGACCATCTCCGGCGGCCAGTTACAGTGACCATCTTCGGCGGCCAGTTACAGTGACCACCTCCGGCGGCCAGTTACAGTGACCACCTCCGGCGGCCAGTTAGAGTGACCACCTCCGGCGGCCAGTTACAGTGACCACCTCCGGCGGCCAGTTATAGTGACAACCTCCGGCGACCAGTTACAGTGACCACCTCCGGCGGCCAGTTATAGTGACCACCTCTGGCGGCCAATTACAGTTACAGTGATAGTGACCACCGCCGACGCCGTCAACAGCAGCAATGACTTTTGTCAGACCCGGTGGCCACCAACCGCCACGACTACAACTGCCCCGCCACTACCCCCTACCCCGCCCTAGCATAACAAGCCCCACAAAACCAGAGATCTAGATCTGTCGTGGGCACCAAAGTCGTCAGTGGCTTCCAAATCCGACGAAGCACGTCGTCGGATCAGCCAAATTAGAAGTTCCTCGTTGGATCTACGAAGCTCATCGCCGCCGCAGGAGGGAACAACAACGGAGCGAACGACGGCGATTTCCGGACAAAGAGAAAGGAAGAGAAGAGAAGTAGAGGAGGAGAGGAGTTACAGTGGCAGGTTTAGCCGTCGCCATCATTGCTCTTCGTAGTCGCCGCTAGGGGTGGCAATAGGCCAGCCGGCCTGTCAGGGGCCTGTGGCCTGGCCTGTTTAGTAATCAAGCTAGGCTTGAGCTTTTCTAAAAGCCCGTTTATTTAAATAGGTCAGGCCTAGCCCAACTCTAAAGCCTTTTTACCTTAACAAGCCGACCTATTTATGTGTGTGTGTGTGTGTATTTAGTTATATTTATATTTATTTGTATTATTTATATTTATATTGGTATACTCAACTATATCCAAAACAGTATAATAGTATTTTTAGGGAGAGTGTATTATAAATTAGAATAGACTGCTTTTTTAAACATATATAAAGTGTGTTAATAGTTTATTAAGGTAATTGAATTTCAAAGTTTTTTTAAGAATCAAAGTACATAGAAATTTATAATTTATAAACTACATAATAATACTCCATAGTCCATAATAATGTATTATTAGACATCCAAAACACAACTAACGTTTTATTAGACTTTTTAGTGAATATTTGGGGTAATAAATTTTATACCGGATTAAAAGGATTTTTCACTTTTCATTTTGTATTTTTTTTGAAATTTTATTTTTTTCCTTAACAGGCCCGGTAAACAGGCTTCAGGCCAAACCAGGCTTTTGAACAGGCTAGGCCTAGGCCGAAAAAACATGCCTTTAACAGGTAACAGGTCAGGCTCAGGCCTATATTTTCTAAAACAGGCCTGGCCTGTTTAGGCGAAAGCCTGGCCTGTTTCCACCCCTAGTCGCCGCCTCCGTCTCTCTTCATAGCAGCCGCGGTCGATCGAAGAGTTGATGCAGATGAAGATGAGGGTTGGCTGGAACGAGGTTTGGTCTCCATCTTCGTAACAAATCTGGTCACCATATGCCCATATTTGTCGGACGAAACTCGCCACGGCCAGAGCTGGGGTATTCATCGGATGTGAAATGGGGAAGTTGAGGAGATTGAATTTAGGGTTGAGAGCAGGGTTATTTGAGACCTTTTACCCTTCTTTAAATCACTTTTATGTCTAAAATCCCATCGGCCCAGATTTTTTACCATATGGGCTTGATAGTCTTCTTCTAGTCATTCTTTCTTCTTTTTATGGCAAAAATATCAAACATCAATCTAGTGATAATAACAATAGTTGGTAAGAACTGGTAATAGAATGAGCTGATGTGAATTAAAATTGGGTGATGCAATGAATGAATGAATTATGAGCTAGCAGCACAACACCTATCGTAAAATTGGCCCGTGACTCGTAGGACCACAGTAGGAATGGTATATGTGCTTCCACTTTTTATCTTATTTCGGATAATAATAAATTAATAATCACATGCAACAATGCATTGATTTCCGATGCATGTGCTCGTCCTACTCTTTTTAGCTGTTAACTACATTCCCTAGTTTGTACAAATGTAGTTTCATTATATGGTCGAAATTAAAACACCAAGATTCAGAAAAACAAAATGTCTTGGGATTAATTACAAAAAAAAAAAAGACAAATATTACGCTAACCCCAAAATTTATCATATGCGTACAAGACCGAAACTATCCAAGTAGAGCGGACAAATATCCTTCCAAGAAAGTGTAAACGTAATTCTATGGTAAAGTGTCATGAACGCTTTGACTGAAATCTTGTAGACACAATTACTTTACACGTAGATTTACCCCGTGAGATCCTCATATGATATGAACATGTAAAAGTACAGTCAAAATATGCTATTTTGTCTATACGATTTTAAAGACTAAATACTTAAAAAAAAAAAATCAAACCCACATCCCAATTTCCAACTATATGGCCTACAAGGTAATAAATAATTGGACAAATGTAAATATTTAAAAAGAAAAAGAACTTTTGGGATGGTTACCTTGAAAAAAAATCTAAAGGGATGGTTCTGAGAAAACAGATCTATATATGGAGTATTTTTATCTGTGTATACACACAGCCGTTCAGTCAATATATCCCTGCAATGGCAGGGCTTCTATACATCAAATCTTCGGTTTATTAAATTTAAAACATATTCCATCTGCCATGGGAGACCCCCCTTCAATGACTTTTAAGTAAGCTGTCTCCAGCCTCTCAGCAAAGTCCTGCTTTCTCAGTGTATAAGGCGGGGGGTGGGTGGGGGAGGGAAGGGTAGAGGCCAAACCTTCCTTAAACCTGTTGCAGAGGCGCAAAGGTATTGTACTTGAAACGCATGTGGGTCCATCACCACCTTTAAGTGCTACTAATTTCTGGTACATTGGGGTTTGATGGGACCAAACACTCCCAGGGGTTGGCGTAGAAATAGTCCTCCTCTTTTGGTCGGTCCGGGATGACCAACCGCCGGGTCGGGCTACCCATCCGTCTGGTGTGAGCCTCCTTGACAGCATTGGAGAACTCATCCCATGTTAGTGACCCTGCATCATACTTGTCTATCAAATCAACCAGAACCTTTCTGTCCAAAAGGATTGTCTTCTTGTATCCAAGATGTCTGAGAGCAATGCAAGAGCATAATGAGCATTTATGCTGAATCAAACAAATCTCATGCAAGATTTTTTTAAAGTGTATATAAGCTTGGAACTGCCAGTTTACCCCAAGCAGCCTCATGAAATTTAAACAGAATTTGTCTTTTTCTAAGCACACAAATTGAGTAAATTGACAAGGAGAGGTAGTAGAAATGCTTTTGAAGTTTCCTGGCAAACATTTTCTTAGGTCTTGTTAGGGAGTGTGAATTTGTGAGTGTGAATTTGTTTTACAAGTTTTTCTCTACCTGTTGGTCTCAATTTAGAAAAACAGAGCAATAAATTAATAAAATAACTACTACTCCTACCCTTCTCTTCCCGCTTCAAAATCCCCAAACCGAAAAGGGACTCAAAGAAAAGATTTGTATTAGAGAATTAGTAATCACAGGCTACTGAGAAAGTTATCCTTAAAACAGAAAATAAGAGAAACAATATAATTGTGGGGAAGTACCTGCGGTGGCCTTCAACGACTTTAGCCATGTTTCCGTCATATGTAGGAACAAAAACATCACTTTCCAGGGAAACGAGGTAATCCAGGGCTGCCATCTGTGAAGAGTGATTTTGAAAGAATCTAAGATCAGCAGCCTCTAAAAGCGTCTCCTTTCTAACCTGTTCAGTAGGAAAACCACACGCATAAGGTAAAAACTACAGTCATGTTAATTGAAAGGTAAATGAATGATTGCCACTATCTCCACTAACCAGATTCGGATAAGATGTAGTAAGGCTAGCCATTCTTCTTTCTCCACCATATATTTCTCCAGCAGCAATGTACACTTGGATGTTGGAATCAATGTCTAATGCTTTTAAAGTAAGAGCTGTTTCCTCGGGAGTCAATGGGCATAAGCCATCTTTTCTTTTTAAATCTGAATTGATTATCTTCTCCTTCCACCATGGATAAGCATACCTACAATCAACATTCAATTGGTCACATTAAGTAATAAAAAAGATAACAATCGGCACACTAAAACATTGGGTAGGTCGGACGCAACTGGGGGAGTCTTTCCCATGTATCATGAGGGTCTGTTTGGAACGTGAAATAATGTCAAAGAATGTAAGGATAAAAATATAATGGGAACATTGAAAGAAAGAAAAAGGGTGAGTGCGGGTGGTATAAAACATTGGTTACAACTCAAAAAGCGTATTCTTTATATTTTTGTTCAAGCATGTTTTTATTTATGTATTTCTATTGCATAAAGACTAAACATATTTCATTTAACTTGTATTTTTTGAGCCAATACCAAATAACATTCCAGTATTCCACAAGAAGACTTTTTCTCTAGCATTTTTTGAGATCCAAACATGTCCTTAAAGTCCATGGTCCTAATACCGCTCGAAAAAGATAAGTAGGAGGCTCCCTAGCTTATACTATCCATATAATACCTCCACCCCCAAAAAAATAGTATGGGACCTTTGGCACTGGATAAGCCTTTTTATAAAAACAAAGTAGTATAATCAGAACAGGCAGAATATAATATTACCTCATTCTTGTCAACTCTTCAACCTCCTCGTTGTTGCATCCCTGGGTGCAACCAGAGAAAGCCAACATGTCCATTTCATATCTAAGATGCAGTACAATGAAAGGTCCTTTTTCCCTTAGAAGGCTGATAACCCTTCTTCCCAACTCTTCAATCTGTGGTGTAAATTTCAGGGCACTAAAATTTACACGGCAACGCAGTCTCTGGATTTCCAATGGCTGACCGTTGTTTGCAAGACGAGCGTCCGTTCTATTCAAGTGCACCACTTTGTATTTCCGTACTAATGGTAGAATCTGGTTTTTAGTTGTTTAATTATTTAAGATTAGGGTGGAAGGAGAGCATATCACCATAACTAAGAGCAATGTACTATCGAAAAATAAGAAAGCCAACCTGATTTTGATAGTAAGAAATGTCAGACCAGCTGACAGGCGGCATTGTAAATATTATTCCTAGCTCCACTCTCCTCTTGAGCCTTGGAGGTAGCTCTTTTAAAATCCGGACCTCATCTCTCAAGGATGTGATGAAATGATCAACATCAAATATATCTTGAAACTCACTGCAAATGACGAAATTCCCATCCGATAAGAACATGATCAGATTGATATTCTTAGGGAAGACAACTAAATAAGTGAAGAAACATACATACCTTGGATCAGCCCAGAAAGAGGTCTTATCAAGCTCAGGAACAATGAGTGTGACGTTCAAATGTCTTGCAATAGCAACCATATCACATATCTGTAACCTCAGTAGAAAAAGATAAACCGTGTCAAATTCATTTATCAGGGGCAGCAGACAGCTGTTGCGAAGCAACTAGTAAGGTAGGTGATAAATTACATACCGCTGACCTCATTTGATTAAGGCCTCCGTTACACGAAACCATCAAATAACCATTGTTCTTATAAAGCCCTGGATTGAGTAACAAGCCCAAGGAAGATCAGTCTTGAAAGTTCATTGACAAACTCAAAAGGAACAACAGATCAGTAAAGATGAAGATTAAAAAGACCAGAATTTCGAGAAAAATATATAAAGGTCTCACTTTTTATTATGATAATAAAGCTCTGTTTGGAATGCGAAATGTAAGGAAAAGATAATAGGTAAGAAAATATGAGAAAACATTGGGAGAAAAGAAAATGTTGAGGAAAACAAAAAATTGGTTCAAACTCAATAAAGAAATGCAATAGTGACTAATGTATTACTAAAATAAGAGATATTCACATTATTGTGATCCCCTTAATGCATAGTGTGACTAAATTTGACCGGTGTAATTACTGTAATGGTGCTGAAAGTGACCATTAAGTTATATTTTTCTCTGTAAGTATGGCTTCAGTAATATTTTGTGAAAACCCTCTAAAATAATTTGTAATGGTTTTATATTTGATCACATTCAATGTGATTTATTTAATTCTATATATTAAATAAGTCATTAAATCGTATGTAAGGAAAATTAAAAATATCAATCATTTTTCATTTTCTTTTGTATTACACAAGGAAAATTAAAGCATACTCCGTAATACGTAGTAAAAGTAATGAGCATTTTGTTTCCTTTCCCTAGCATTTTCCAGGAACCAAACATTTCCTAATTGTTTCCATAGAGTTCTCTAAAAGAACACGGAAACCCTGCCTCCAAGAGTTTTAGCAAGTCATAGTTCCCCAATAGTGGGAAATCGATTCTAGCAAATCCACTTACTATTTGTTTACATATTTTCCCTCAGACCTTTCAGATCAAAATACTACTCGTAACATCTAACCATCAGATTTTGTTAAAGGAAAAGAAAAGAAACACCAGATCACAGAGGAGTAGTCGAATAGGCAAGCACAATGAAGGAGGAGAAGGAGGACTCACTCTTAGGTGGGAGGACTCTAGCAGGAACTTCTCGATCCGCACTGAGATGCATTGAAGAGGATTCCTGGGAGAAACAGGACGGCCAGCCCTTCAAAACCCTTGGACCCCAAGTCTCCCCCAAAGTCGTCAATTGAACAAAGCAAGTCCACAACAGAACCGACGTAGTTGCCCTTATCATCCACAGCTTCGTTCTTGAATGAGATGAAAACACCGAGCCCTTGAGCTTCTCCACCCGACTATCCCCAAATTTGGTCGCCGTCTTCATCCCCATTGCCGCTGCCCGCTTGTTCTTTTCTCGCTACTTCACTCTCCTCCACCTCTCCTCTGCACATCAATCCACACACATTTAACCTCTTCTCTGTAATTCCCGATATTGCATTCTTCAAAATCTCACCCCTAAATTTAGAATCAAATTGCGTGTTCTCGAATAATGTGGGATCGAAGACTTTCCGTAATTGATCCAAAACTTCAACCGATAATGGTATCGGTTTCCAGATTTCAAGAGATGCCGTTTAGAAAAGAAAATCTTAAATCTGACCGAGATGACTTCCTAAAAGAAAATAAAGAATCCTTATCCTTTTCCCCGGACCGCGTTAATGGAACGACCGAACGAAAAATATCCCTCCTAGAAATAGAGTGAAGTTTCTAACTTCGTTGAAGCATTGATACAAATTCACCAGAAAGCTTCCATCTCTCCAGGATTAGGGAGGCGAAACCAGAACTGAAAATATGCGTTATCCTAGAAATGGGATGTGATAGATTGGCGACGAATGTCGCGGAGATCTGGCGAATAATCAGGCAAAAAGACCGGCTGATGACCGGAATATGAGAATGTCGGCGGCCGGCGACGAGAGGAGTGCGACGCGAAGAATTAGGGGAATGAAAGGAAATGCGGAAGTAAAAAGATAAGAACAGCGTAGGTTGGGGGTTGGTGGTGCGGTGTTAGCCTTATTAACCATTCCCGTTGGTTTTTTTTTTTTTTGGACAACTCTTTCTAACCTATATAGTATTTGCTCAATGTTAATGCCAACATCCTTGAACTGGGATGAGATTCGAACCTGTGACCTCCTCCTTGGGAGTGCCACAGTGATGCCATCAGACCACAAGGTACTTGGCCCATTCCCGTTGGTTGTTAAGTTATTAATTAGGAGTTATTATTATTATTATTATTATTATTATTATTATTATTATTATTATTATTATTATTATTATTATTACTACTCGTATTAATTATTTTTTGATCATCAAATCCAGCTCTAATATCAAATCAATAGGAAGCGGATCGTTACAACAGACTCAAAAAGACCAATCCTGACAAAAACTATCCCTAACCAACTATCGCAATCAACCCTTCGACTAGACTCTGAGACGATCACCCATGAAAGAGCAATACGAGTCGATAACCATCAAGCGGGTGTGACACAACAATCACAGGTCATATAGATTCTTCTAATGACATAATATCTAGTAGAATTGACAATCATTATCAAAGACCCAAAATTGAAAACCTCAACAAAAAACGAAACACCGTAAACAAACATAATACGCAAATAAGACCCAAAAAAATAGAATAACTGACAAAAACTCCAAACTTCTTGAACTTTCATCTTCCAAACCCCGACATCTAGATCAAAACAAGGTGGCGGTTCAGGCGGGGGACGTACCGCCGATCTGTATTCTCCCTTGCTTAGCCCTTCGTCGTTCCCTATCTCTTCATCGCCTGTGCCGAGGTCCAGAACCAAACACTAAAGCTTTGCTAGGTTGCCCACATGATGAATATAGATGGAGTATTATAATCATTACACATACAAGATCACATTTTTTTAAAATAAGCTTTATTTTAGTCATAAAACTATAATTATTTCTTTAATATTTTGTGGATGAAATTAGGAAATTGTTAAATTAATAGCAATAACTTTTAATTTTAAGCTTGTGGAATCTGTCACAAACTAATTTCCTTTAAACTTTTTAGTGTAAACATTTCCTTTTTTCTCATTCAGCATGCCGCACTATTGTCTAAGGATGCTTTTACTTGCACTGAAATTTGTTGGTCTTGTATGGTCTGGTATGTTTAAGTCTGATCTCGTCTGGTCTGAACTGGTTTGGTCTTGTAAATGTCTGGTCTCTGTGTATTTTATAACTATAAAAGTCCAGTCTGATTTGATCTGGCTTGATCAATTTAAATCTGGTTGGAACTGAAAAATAGTCCAAGTAAAACCATCCTAAATCTACTATATAATCATTATTTAATTTAGCTCAAACTCAAATCGATGGATTCTTGTCTACTTACTTTTACACATTCACAAAAGTAACTTCTACAGGAAAAACTCATAATCATAGTTTACATTTGTGAATTGTTTCACAAAAAATGAAAACTCACTTGATGATGTTAAACTTTTATGCTGGTTCTATTAGTGAAATTGTAAACAAGTCGAGATATTTACAAACTACTTATAAATTTTCATATTCTAGACCCATGCCAGTCCCCCTCCTCCCACTTCTGTATCTTCCCCCTCGCCTGATCAGATCCCCCACACTCAGTGCGGCTATCATCGTCTGTCGATGATTCTACCCCTATTCTGCCCGACATTGTCTTAGATGAATTTTCGGCGATTGGCCCCCCTTCACGCTAGTTCTACAGTGACTCTTCACCCCCTCCTTGACTGCCCCCCTCTACCTTCCTAGTCCGCCTTGTTAAGTAATGTGCACCCCATGCAGACGCGTCCAAAATTTGGCATTTTTAAACCCAAACAAATTTTTAATTCGAATACATATGTTACTGCACTAGTTGTTTTTCTTTGATAATAAAGATTTTAATTGCATAGTTGATGAATTTAATGCACTCTTCGCTGATCAATCTGGAGATTTGGTACCTTTTGATGCTGGTAAGAATGTGATTGGGTCTACGTGAATTTATAAAACTAAATATCTTTTTAATAGCTTTGTTGATCAATATAAAACTCGCTTATTTGCTCACATGTGTTGATTTTTTCCTGAAACTATTAGTCATGTTGTCAAACTACTACTGTTCGTCTTGTTCTTACTATAACAGTCTCATTTGGTTGGTCTCTTCGTTAGCTTGATGTCAAGAATTTAATGCTTTTTGCATGATCACCTTACTCAGGAAGTTTATATGCCTCTGCCTCCGGATATGGTTCACCCTTAGTTTCATCATCATTTGTATCATCTTCGCAAGGTCATTTATGGGCTGGAGCAAGCTTCTCGTGCATGGATTTATAGGTTTAGTAGTTTTCTTTTCAACCCTGGTTTTACCTATAGGTACTCATATAATTCTTTGTTTATTTTCAAACATGATTATTGTATTATTTACCTTTTGTTATATGTCGATGATACTATGGTTAGTGGCGATTCTACCTCTTTGATAAGTTTATTAGTCATTTTATTTCTTTATTAACAAAGTATTCTATTATGAAGAACATGATTGATCTGCACTTTATTCTTGGCATTCATGCGTCTCGTACGGTCGCTGTTTTTTCTGTTTCAGCATAAATATATTTAAGATCTTCTGCATCGTTTCCACCTTAACACATTAAAACCAGTTCGGTCCTCATTATTAGTCAAACCAAACTGTCCATCAAGAGCTTCTTGTTGATCCTACAGAGTATAGGAGGATGGTATGTGCATTAAAATATTTAATTTTGACTCGTCCATACATGACTTATGATGTACATCTGTTGTCTCAATTTATGCATGCCCGCACTTCACATCTTTTGGTTGTTAGCATATTTTCAAGTATCCTTAGGGCACTTTTACTCATGGCTTGATTTTTCACTCTTCCAACGTCAACAAGTTATTTTTGCTTATTCTGATGCTGACTGAGCTGGTTGTCTTGATAGTAGTCATTCTACTTTTGGGTATGCTATTTTTCTAGTTCCTATTCCGGTTTATTGGCCATCCAAGAAGCAACCTACTATCTCTAGATCTTCTACTGAAGCTGAATATAGAGCTGTTGCATTTATTGTTCAGGACACGCTCCATATTCGCGGTTCTATTCGAGAATTAATTTGAATGCGTTCCCGATTGAAGTTTTAGCTGAAACTTGGTATGAGTAAACTAGACTTGATGAATAAGATGCTAAAAAATTTTCATCAAAAAATTCCACCGGAAACCGCCCCAAATCGCGACGGCCGGACAGAGCCTCCTATATATATAAGGACTTATTTGACCTTTTTATGAAAGTTCGAGGACCTATTTTACAGTTTTCCCTTATATTAAATATGTTCTTACCCTAAAAAACGAGCAGAACCTAAAAATTAAGACTCACTAAAGATCCCTAAGTCTATAACCCGACTCAAGATGATCAAAATCTAGATTTGTTACCCTTAATATAAAATCAACATAATATACAATCATACATATATTACTTATTCATATGTATCTTAAACGCGATATTGTGACTGATTTTCCGTTGTTGGTTATTGATAGGTTCGTTATAGATCTAGAGAGAAGTGAGACCTAGAGAGAGAAAGTCATTTGCATTCAATGTTTTCCAACCCCCTAAACCTACTCTCAAAGGGAGTATTTATAGAGGAAATATGGATTGGGCTCCCACATCTTGGGCATGGGAGGCCCGATTACAATGATGTATCGTTAGTGGGCTGATTATACGAAGTTGTTATGCTAAGCACAAAGTAAAAACTGTCTTGTAAAGGTCCTGGTTGAGGTGGTCAGGCCGAGGGAGCTAGGTCGAGGTAATCATTCTTGAGTACGTGGGTCGTGGGGTCCAGACCCATATACTCTATCAATTATTTTGGAGACTATTTCTTGTGCTATTATATGTGTTTTGTATTTTTGAACGACTTTAAAAAACGGGCTTTTAGATTAAAAAAGAAAGTGTGACGATTTCTAATTCGAGCTTTAACCGATTCTATATGAACCTGAACTGACCCGTACTAACAACAATTTGACTTGGATTGAATATAATGCAGATCAAACTTAATTGATGACATCCTTAACTGCTTTGGGGGGTTGGTCTATTCTCCCAAATGTCCTAGTGAATAATTATTTGATTATTCACTATTTCACCAATCAAAACTTCAAAATTACAAAATATTATTTCCCACTTATTTATGTACAACAATTAAAATTTCCATAGGTGACCATACCTTCCATTGGTGAGCATACTTCGAGCGAGTAACATTGGACCAAATGAAATTCATTAGATTTCGTTAAGGGGGAGTGGCCCAAGTTGACCACACCTCACACTTGGAATTCTCCTTCATTAACACGATCATATATTCGAGTTTTTTCCCTAAGAGGGGTATTTTGTAATCTTATTTCCCATAATAGGGTATTTTTAAACTTAAT